AGCATGCTCGCACTCAGGATTTTGCTTCAGTTGGAGAATTGGTGTTCACTGACAGGCATTTCCGTGGATGCTGTTCGTGATATTTCCGGGTAAGTTGCCGGTGGTGGTCGATTCAAGAGTCCTTTAAAGTGATCAGACAGCCCATTGATTTGTTTGTTTCTCTTTCTCTGCAGGACATTTTTTATTGGTATCATCATCTAGGTTGATCTTTTCCCGGATATCTGATATGATGTCCCGAGATCTCTTTTGCCTGCGGCTTGTTCTGCTTCAGTTACCATTGTGTCGTAGAATTGTCTGTTGTGTTTCTTAGCACCCTGCTTCACTTCTTTATTCAGTGCAATGTACGCTGAAGTCAGCTTCTCCTTCTGTTGTTCATCTATGCATCGAGTTATCTTCTTTTTTATCATCATCCTCTCCTCTCTTCTATTAGCTTCGAGGTAAGTGTCCGCTGAGGGCCATTCTCTGTCTTGGCTCTTCTTACTTCCTAGCACAGTTGTACACGTTCCTTCGGACATCACCTTCAGAGAGTTAGTTCCAGTATTCTTCCACGAAGGTTACCTCGGTGCCTTTTTCTGATATCTATAGTAAAAGCATCCCTTGTGATTTTGTCTTACAGTTTCTGAATGTGGAACTTGAATTGCGGTCTGTCTCCAGTTGTTATGAAGGATTACAGCTTGATCTTCAAGGTTCCTTGAAGTAGATGATGATGGTCTCAGCCCACATCTGCTCCCGTTCTAGACTTTGTGTCAAGGAGACCAGCTACATCTCCTCCTTCCTGAGCAGCATTGAGATGAGGTCAATCTGGTTTGTGGTGTGTCCATCAAGTGAAGTCCACGTTGCTCTGTGTGTATCCTTGTGCTCGTACACACCACCTCTGATCATTAGAACTTTGAAGGTGCAGAAGTGCGAGATTAATTCTCCGCTCTCATTCACTTCTCTGAGCTAGAGCCTCTCGACCCATTACGAGTTCTCTTCCTGTATTACCATCTCCCAGTTTGGCATTCATGGGGATTTTGCCGTCAACCTTTGGGATGATGTCCATTACCTTTTGCAGTTGTCTGTAAAGCTCTTCCCTTATTCTCTTGTTCCTCGTTGTTTTGCAGCATTGTGCTTATCTTATACTCATGAATAACTACCCGCCAGAATTTATTCAAAAATATCTGAAAACCTATATGGAAGATAAAAGTGGTAATGGAAATAATATAATTAATAAGGAATTCAATGCCTTAATAACACTTTAATAATAATAATAATGTATATTCTCATATAAACATATAAATTTACATGAAAATGTAAAAGGGAACGTGGGAAATCCTGTTTAGGGTTCCTAATGAAGCTGGAATTAGTTGGGGCGTCATTTAACTTAGGGAAAACCTTTGTCTGCTTTAAGGTTTCATAGATCCAATTAAGAAACAATGTAACATGTAATGATTATGGAGTCAATTTCATAGATGAAGCTAGTAGATCGGGATCGACGCGAATATCGGAGCCTAAGAAATTAATTGGATCTAGAATGATTGACTCTGCTAAGTTAAATAACTGAAAAAACAGAGCTTAGTCACTGCATTTCATTAACTTGAATCTAATCACAAAATAGGGTGAGACACATTGACGGTACTGAAAAGTAGTGTAGTTAGGTGGAAAGAGAAGCTAATGATCGAATGTTTGTTCATTGAATTAACACCAAATATGTTCAATCGAAATGACACGATACCTATCCTGGTTGCAGTAACGAAACAGCAGAATTAAGTAAGGTTATATAAAACAAGCCTATAATTTGTGTGATGAATATGAGGAACAAATTGCAGTTATTATTATTATTTCCTTGGGTTCCAAGTGTAACATACAGCTTCAACAACACATCTCCACTATGTTCTGGTCCCTCCTCTCCACCTCAGCTGGCTCCACGACTGCCCATAATCTCTCATCCCCTCCAACAGTTGACCTGATTACTCAATGTCACAGTAAAGTCTAACACTAAGAGAGGCATTTTGCTTAACAATGTCTATACACTGGAAAGATTGTGCATCTACTCTTTTAGATACATACGCCACACAGATTGTACTGTTGGCAGAAGGCTTATGATGACGATTATAGATAGTGAAGGGTCGGTTATTCGCGAAGTTAGACCTCCGAATTTAGATGGAGTAATCCACGGAGGTGGCTGAGTGGTCATTGAATTTAATAACAAACTCTCCGTGCGAAGCATAGCACCAGCCATACACTTTAATGAACCACGCTGTAGAGTGAAAAACAGGAGCATGGCATAGGCATCATCACAATGAGTCGCTGGGAGAGTAGGTGACCACATCATAGTGGTATCATAATATACGGAGACTAAAATATCAATGCGTTAGTCGGTGCCAGAGCGGTTAGCACCCTCGCCGACCATGTACGTGGTCTGGGTTTCGTTTCCCGAACGGCACACTAATTTATCCTGCTAAGCCAGTAATAAAAGCTGGTAAAGAGAGGAGGTTGGGTATCAATGTAGTTGAAGATTGAACGATCGATTCACGGTTGTTTGCTCAAACCCAACTTCCCCATAATTTTCGCGGGTGATCAATCTGCCAGTCATCGTCTTATCGGTCGCTGTTCAGAAAGAAGCTAGAAAAAACTGTCAGAGGTAATATCGTGATTTACTGTTGTAATATTTTGTTCATAGACCTTAGTCTGTAATGCTAAAAATGCTGGTTATATGTTGGTGTTAGAATAAATGATTCTTGAGTCGCCAAACTGGGTTCTGGTTTTTGCGTCCGTTCGTACTAAGCGTTCCTGAGAGGCTTCGAGGAACAGCGTGAGTCCCAGCGTAGCAAGAGCTGGGCATTAACGGTTTACGAGACGTGGCTGATACATGCTCTGTAAAAGTTATGTACCGGAAGTGGTATAGTGCCGTATTCGAAATCCACGGTCCACTACTCCGATACACTTAAAATTTGAGGAGAGAATAGGGAAGGTAGCAACATCTTCAGACTTGAAAAAGGTATTAGCAATAAGTTAAGTTGATATAGAGATAGATTGCTTTTTCTCACCGCGGATAAATGTGCTATCATGCCCACCAGGCACACAAATGGCACTGAGAGGGCATGAATTTGGAAAAATGATGTCTTAGATGTCATGGCAAGTCACGACTTAACCCTTAAGGCAAAATGTCCATCACTTGGAACCTACTACTTCAGAACCCTACGGACAACACTTACGGCCTTTACTATAGTAAGACACCATAGTATTTTAGAGGATATTGACGTTCACGGATAGTACAAAGTATACCAATTCAAGATCTAATACCCACAACTTCTATAGTATTATTTTCGCGTAGAACAAAGGCAAAGTAAAACACCAGAAGTCTTCATTCAAATTAGGAGGTATATTTCGGGACCAAATCGGAATGCGAGGCGACTGCTTAACTAGGGATCGTGCACGAACGAACGAACGTGACACGACGGAGTATCAAATGGTGTGGATGCTTGACCGGAAGCCTTCTGCTAAACAAGTCAATTTAAACCGTGCGGGTCAGCATGCAATATTCAGCGATGAATGCTGTAGCCAATGATTTTGCGGAATTATATACCACTACATGAGTGGAATCCTTGGTAAGACGTAGATTACATGGCTGCATGAAAGCATCCATTCCCTGCCTAAAAAGATGGCCGACACGCATTGGTAAGGTTTCAAAGTAAAGTAATTCCTGGTATGGCCGATTTATCATATGGAGAATAGTTAAAAGACTGTATCGCTTCCTATAATATTCCAGGCAGTGGGTATATCGAATCATTGTGAGCAGGATATTAGGGGATGAGTATGGACCTCCTTTTTTGCCATTTAACCGGTCATGGCATCTCAAGAAATATAACAGAATAACTCATTGTTTCTCCTAATGGGATATGAACTTTACCAACCACTGTCATAAGAAGTGGTTTCTACACTTTACGGTCATACACTTTACGCATAGGCTGTTAGGTGCACTCACTCCTGAGCTCTTTCTAAGGTTGTACAAAACATACGTCAGGCCACACCTTGAGGTGCACAATATTATTGCACCCCCAATGCTGAGAAGAGGCGCCAACCTCTTGGAAAGAGTCCAACGACGGGCAAAAAAAGGAGTGGTTGGTTTCCGAATCAAACCATATGATGAAAGGCTGAAGAAATTAGGGCTGTTCACACTTAGCTACCATCGGTTTAGGGGAATTTGATTACTGCCTACAAAATAACAAATGACCAGAATCACCCAAACAAAGGTGTTCTGCCATTGAGTAGGTGTAGGCTTCCACGTGAAAATCCCAGAAGGATAGCTCACCAGAGGGTAAGGACTCGGGTGTGCTCCCACCTCTTTTCGCTGCGGGTTTGCCACCCCTGGAATCCCTTACCGGCAGAGGTAGCTATGGCACCGTCTTTGGACGCCTTTAAGCGGAGGCTGGACAACCATGTAGCGACACAAGGACTGCATCCAAATGGCCTATCTCCTTAAAATCGCATACAACATTCAGGGTATTATAATTATTATTACTATTATTATTACCGATATATATATATATATATATTATTCTTCAAACTTAATGAGCTGACTCGTTACGCTTTCCTACTTCCGTTTCTGTCTCTTAGTCTGAATAACTTCACAAATTATATCTATTATTATTGTTATTATTATTATCTCTTTACTCTTGTCGACGATACCGGAGGACTAACTGGCGAAAGGATCAACTTCAATCACAGTAGCAACAGTCTTAACACACCTCATACTACAAACCACATATAATTAATCCCAGCACTACTCCCTTCGGAGTCAACCAAAGCTACGACAGTCAAGTGACGGGACAAGCTACGCAGAAGTTTACCGAAGATTAGGAACCTATACCTTACAATCAAGAAGCGAGTACAAAGAAATCAAATTGGTTTATACTAGCTCGTAAAAACGATATTGGATATTGGATACACCCCATTAAGTAAAGAAATTAAATATTACGAAGATTTGATATGCACGCACATATAATGATTAATATAGATTCGAAATCTCACGTATTCAGTTGAAAATAATAATCAGGATCTGAACTTAGAATCCATCAATTTAATTTCCTGTGGGTCGTATTGGCGTTTGTGTCAAGGTCAAACCTGAACTTGAGGTCAGCGATATATGATTGGGAAAACCAAGGGTGGCTTTATTTTGTTATGACGCGAAAGCGTTTGCAGGATTCGTCTTGCTGTGCAAAGAAATGGCACACAAAAATTTTGAAAACAGAAAATGAGGCGAGGTAATATTTTGTGTATTAAATGAGTAAATTAAAATTTTAAATTTACAGAACCTCTGTAAAAACTAGTATTCGATATAAAGATTTGGTAACTCATTTTCTCATCAACTGCTAATGTGTGCAATTTATAGTTTTCGTATGCTAGCACAAGTGACCTGGTGATTTTTTATCTTGGAGTTCTACTGACCGTCGCAGTCGGAGCTGCTTTTCCACTGTCCATAATGATATTCCGTTGGATTGTAAATGACTTCATGAAACCTACTGGTGTGCCTTACGAAAAAATCTACCATACGTCATTGTGGTTTTTAGCTGTAGCGGTATGCACATTTTTTGTTTCACTAGCTCAATCGTGGTGTACTAACATTAGTTCTTCACGGCAAGTAAACTACATCAGACAGCGTCTAATTCAGGTAAGAAAAACTTATGGATAATTTTCGTCCGATTAAATGTTAACTTTGAAGCAGCTAAATGATAGTAGTTTAGAATCGCTTGGGGATATTTTGCTTATTCATCATACGCCTAATTCATTATTGAAGTCAGATGTTTGGAACACGGTGAACTGAAGTGTTTGTTATTGGAAAGTCGCTAACGATACGTGTGACAGTCAGTTACACTAACTTTTCGTGATAATAGGCAATATATTATTGAAGTCTATATTTTTTCATTGCAACAAGGGATCTTAGGTTCTGTTTGCTATGAAGTAACCGCTAAGCAGAACTCATCAACTGAAAATGCACCAATCTGTTATGTTTTAGTTTCCAATCATAAATTAAACAGAGAAAATACAAAACGAAAGTTCAGTTATCGGAAAACATCTGAAAACGAAATGTCAAAATAATGTTGAAATATAACAAACATTTTCATTATCTAGGCTTTTGAAGAAATCTTTGTACATTCCAGCGTTTATTTATTCAGTCATTCATACGCATTGAAAACCACTAAAGATGCTTTGCAGCAAAACCAGGAATTAGCCTAGTGTCTTTGTCTAATTGTTCCTCTGTAATTTTTTATCATGCTTCAGTTGACATCGAGCTATTGTTTGAAACAAACACTTGTCTTTTTATGATGTGGCTGATGGCCATCCGTAACTTTATAGGGTATACTTCGTCAGTCTTTGGCTTTCTTTTTAAGACTGGTGTACAACTCTAATCTGAGGGTTTTGCGAAGTATTTGTAGCACTTTAAATGCATACTGAAGCAGGATTTAGTAGGAAAATAGTCAAAATTCATCCAATTGTAATTTGTTACCGATGCATCAAGTAACCCTTGTGACTTGCTTGCTTGGGATCATCTTGGCGTTAAAAATTAGCTATTAATCCCCTCTCCCGAAACACATTTCATTTAGTAAACGACGTCATTCCTGCTAATATAGGTGGTGTTTGGAGAGATTCGAAAGATAGAATATTGCTGTAGGAACAATGCTTAAAGGGTCGTATGGTATTTATTATCGTGTTGTGTAACTAGATAAAGTACATGTGCATTACTAATTAAGCTGATGGAACGAAAAAGAATGGTGTAGGGCACATTCAAGAGACTGAAACCAGCCTTTAGTGAACAGCTCAAGATTTCCCTTGCGAACAATTAATAATTCAACATTTCAGAGTGATGACATTTGTGATCTTTATGAAGCTTCTTTCTTCAACTGACAAGGCTTGAAAATAAATCGTCTAAGAATAAGTGCTTAGTCTGACCTTATTTGACTTTGATTCTTCCTATCAGTTGTTGTTGATAGTGATCACGAATATTTTTTTAAAGTACCACATATCAAGAAACCTGCACACATCCCATAAGAGCCGTCGTATACATCGTACTGTTAGGTAACAGTTCATGGTCTCAGTCCTAAAGAATTAGAGACACCCTAGTAACTAACGTGGTAAGTGTTACTTTTTGAGACTGTAACAGTTTGATCATTTTTAAAATTCTAAATCTAGACAAGACTTTTCTGTTAAAGCCCTTAGTTATTCCTGCATACACGCTTAAAACCACTATTATTACTATTCTCTAAGAGCTTTCTTTGATAATTGGTAACTGTCTGTCTGTTTTCGACATAGAATTTTGCATTGATGTGCACCAGTTCACGCCGCCACACTCCCTCCATGAAGCACACAGCGAGAGAAGAAAGTAGAAGAAATGCATAACAGAGACAGTAAACAGAGGTGTGAGACAAAGGATTAGTAATAACGAAGAACAATATAGTTTCATTGGAAATCATACGTCACAAGGAGTGGATGTATCTGCACCAGGAATTAACAACGATTTCGAGCCATATCAGCAATTGTTTCCAACCTTCATTGGTTTTTACCGTCTCGAGGACCCCAACCAGGAAGTCTTCATCTTCCTACATGACTGGCTTAAACTAATTGTCGTGGATTTCATTGACTGGTGCAGCCATGTTTTGGTTTGACCACCGCCAGCTCTTTTCCAACCTGATCTCTCAATAATGACAGCTAGCATTGTCCATTGTTGAGGAAGGCGATGGCCAGGGTGGGTGTGCGTATCACATGTCCTAACCGTCTCAGTCGATGTAGCTTCACAGCCTCATCGATTGATTTCCCCTCCTTACCTAGCACGCGACCGAAGCCTAACCTCAATACTGCTCACCTTATTACACCGCTTCATACGGGAGATAGAACGCAAGTACCTATGATCGAAGATAGCTAATCTTTTCATGTTTTCCACTTTAAATGGCCATGTCTCACAGTCAGACATTAAGGAGGACGGAGCGGATTGGTGAGCAGTGCACCCGCCCTTTGGTCGATAGCCAGCTAGCCGGATATCACGTCTACGCCAGAGACGGTGTAAAGTGACATATGCGAAACTAGCCCTCTGTATCCGTACTGAGATTTCGTCAGAGATCAACCCGTTGGCATTGGCTGATGGTACTTCTCAAATAAGTGAAGCGGTCAATATGCTCCGTCACTTCACTGCCTATTCCTAAACTAGGAATTGGTAACTACAATATCATCAGGTGTAAGAAGTAAGCAATAAAACCCTCTTCCTCTACTTATAGGCGTCCATATGCAAAAAATTGGTTATTTTACCTGCGTTGCGTATGATTTAACTTCCTTAAATTCCTATAGACTATCCGAATCAAGATAGCGTTTTATGGCTCGCCTTTCATCGTAAAAGAAAGTTTGAGAGTCTATTGAGTATGTATAAATACGCATACCATGTATTTTCAATCCCATTTGGCATATTCTGCGCTTTTTTATTTCTCAAATTCTTCATTCTTTTATTGTTTATTTAGGCAATATTGAGTCAAGACATAGAATGGTTGGATGAACATAATATTGGAGGCCTTATGGATAAACTTACTGAGCACACAACTAATATACGTCTTGGTGTAGGAGAAAAGCTGAATGAATTCATTCAAAACATCTCAAGTTTCGTATTCAGCTTATCTATTGCATTTGTATTTGGTTGGAAGCTTAGTTTAGTCGCTTGCGCAACACTACCGTTAGTACTTACTGGCTTTTCTCTGTTTGGTACTTTTGCAAGACGTTTCACTCAGAAAGAGCATGATGCATATTCCAAGTGTAGTGCAGTTGCAGAAGAGGTTTTAAGTGCAATACGGACGGTGATAGCTTTTGGTGCTGAGAGTAAAGAAGTTGTTCGTTACAGCAGTAATTTGGATGAAGCTGCTTCATTTGGCACCAAACACGCTGGTTATCTGGGATTCGGTAAGCCCGACTCATTTGTCTTTGTCCAGCATATCCAAATGTTCAGTTTAGTTAATACTATAAGAATCTATTTTCATTTTGAGTATCTAAATGCAGCCTTTACTTATGCATGTATTATATTTGGTCTTGTGAAAGATATCTGTGGGTTTATCTTTTGATTTGACTTGAATTTGCTTACTAAAGGCGTTTTGTGTTTACTCTTCTTGTAGACTCCTGATAATATGATTTTAATTTATTTTACTTTATTCTCGTTGAATTTATACTTTTGTGCTAATTTAAGATATGATGACTTGAACCAATACTCTATCTTTGGACATTACCGTACCTAGTACTATCTTTCCTGAGATTAGTGTCTTCTAGGTGTTCTGAATGAATTAGTTTTTTCTGAGAGCACATGAATTTTGTGAGTTACAAACTTTTAAGATCAGTATGAACAGTAAATTTTCCAGTTAGCGAAAAGAAGATAGTTGCACGCTGGCCAATCGCCTTGTTCGACAGGCAATATTAAGTGGTATAGGACTAAGTTGGGAAAGAATTAAGGCTACTCAAGTGAAATCCTAAAGTCTTAGACTGTTGGTTTGTGCTACATTGAGAGATTTAGATTACCTGGCTGGACTCCCTGGGACTTTTAGAACCAGTGGTTTGAAACTGTTAGCTATGTGACTCAAAATCGTTGTCCCTCACTCTCTGGGATGTTCCATATCCATTAAACCGCCATGTTTTCTGTTGATGATGTTTCTTTGGGATCTCGTCCCATCTTCCCCATACTTTCCTGTGATACATACATTGTAGAGACTTAAAGTGCTTCACTTCTATGCATAGTTCGATGCGGAAACTCGGTTAGCCAATCAGGAAAATCATAGTCGTGAGGACATCCTACATACAAAAGTTGAGCGGTGTTTTCGTTATGATTCAGTAGTCTGCCATATATTCTATCGTGTGTATAGTAGTTTTATGCACTAATTTTTCACTAACTCGTAAGCAGATTAGTGATTTGGTAGGATAGACAAATAAAGAAACTAAATTGATAACCTATTGACTACCATTAATTAACATGTCATGACTATAAAGTGAAAGGTGTCAGTTAAGGTGGTCAACCTAGGTCAACCAATTTAATAAGGCATGGAAATACAACCAGGTGTTCAATATAGTATATATTATGTCATACTAATGTATACTATCACACACAATCTTACACGAGAGTAAAGTACAGTAACAACTTTGAAAGGTAATGTAATTAGACATAAGAATAGATTTATACTTGGAGATTCGTATATTGAATTAGCAATAAGTACACTCATAATCGAAATAACTCGGAACCACTACCAAATGTTCATAAAACCGTAGGATCTTTACAAATAGAGGAAAAATTTCAGTCATATGATATACGTCGTGAATTTCTTTACTTTCCCCTCCACCTCCTCACACTATAACAGCAGAAAATAAGTTACAGGCTAGAGAACCATTGGAAAACCAGGGAGTACCAGAAAGCTGTTTCGTTTCAACTTGGGACTCTTCACAGTACGCACCCACCGCCAGGGTTCGAACCTAGGACCTTCCGGTTACGAGGTGCACCACTGAGATGAGATCCAATGGCCTAAGGATTCCAACCCCTGCCAGTTTGCGATATGGCGCGACCAATAGGCAATGGTGGTGGGTATTCGTCCTCACATCCGACCTGCTGTAACCAACTAGTCACGACTTCCCCCATTGGACCTAGGTAACTACCTACCTAAATAGACCCAGTCGCTAGTGAGCATCAGGTTAAGTTTTGGTTCGCAGGGATTTGACTGATTTGAAAAGTTACCCAGTATATTATACGATTTTACTGCATATTATGTCTGATAAGTAGAGACAAAGCTATTTTGGTTGATGGTATCTAGCAGCAAAATCATGGATGCACACTTCGTCAGTGTCTGTAAGTATGGTATGTACTTTGCGCCCTCTAAGTGCAAAGTACTGTTACAGGATTGGCAGGAGCCTGAACCTGCACTCACTCTTGTGGGTGAACAGCTTGAAGTTGTTGATAAGTTTGTATATCTGGGTAGTTGTGTGAGTGCTGGCGGAGAGGTGACGGATGAGATTTCCAACCGTATAATGAAGGCCAGGGTGGCATACATCAACTTGAGCCACCTCTGGCGCCGTCGCGATGTTAGCCTGGCTGTCAAAGGTCGGGTATACAATGCTTCGGTGCGAGCTGTCCTGCTCTACGTCTGCGAAACCTGGCCTTACCGAGCTGAGGATGTTCGGCGACTCTGCGTAATCGGTCATCGCTGTCTCCGCAGGATTGCTTGCGTTCGATGGATAGCGTCATCACGTGAGTAATTCTGAGGTTCGGCGGCGTGTGTTTGAGCACAGTGGAGATCAGTATTCATTGAGTGTCGTCGTCTGGAAACACCGGCTTCGGTGGCTTGGACATGTGCTCCGAATGTCATCCCAGAGGCTTCCGTACAGGTATCTGTTCGCTAGCCCTAGGACGGGATGGAATAGTCAGAGAGGTGGTCAGTCCATGACGTGGCGTCGTGGGATGAAGGATTTTTGTGCTAGATTAGCATCGGTTGGTGCGTCACGACTCCCTGGTTGGGGTCCGAGAGATAGCTCAAATCGATGGCTCGAAACGTCATCTGATTTGACGAAGAATCGTAATCAATGGCGAATGTGTTGCGATTTCTTTCTTTCTTTCTTTCCTTCTTGATGATAGTAAACGAATACTGTTTTAACTTGTTATGCATGACTGTTTTCCTTCCAGATGAAGTTCTTTATCCGTTTTCCACTTATATTTTTACTTTGAATCTATGTTGTCTTATTATTGTGTGGCGCATCTTTCTTGGTGTCATATTGTACCAAGTTTTTTCTGCGTTTAAATAATAATAATAATAATAATACTTGAACCCTGGACCTTCAGGTTACGAGACCCAACTTATTGATTATTCAACCACCTCGGTAGGGGTTCATTGACCAAGTGAGTTCTCACTTTATCAATTTGCTATAAAGCGCAACCCTACACCAATCTCTTCGATTTAACCTCCATTTCACTTGGACATAGTGGACTTCACTGATCACACAACTTCTTACTTCAGCTTCAAGAAATTCATCCAGTAGGCATCAATGAACTTTAGATTAATTTCACGATCGAAATCAGTTTATAATTGTATATCGGAAAGTGCATGAATTTCGTTCTCTATTTCACTAAGAGCACCTTTGTTTTGTTTCTTTTTATATTCCAGCTGGTGGTTTTGTTGGAATGTCGATATACGCATCTGCAGCTTTAGTATTTTGGTATGGAGTGACATTAATTCGACAGGATAATTATGATCCAGGATCTGTAATTCTAGTAAGTTTACAGTCCTTTCATCTGTTTGCATTTTTTTGTTTTTTGTGTGTTTAAGTTTTCATCAGTAATCATCTATGAATTTGTAAAGGCTTATATCAAAAACCCGCCATAGTTGGTTAGTTTTTATAAAGTCTCTCAATTGATACAGCCACGTATATATGGAAAAGAAGTTGTCGATATGTGTTGTATCTTTGTGAGGTGATTTTGTCGCAATTTGTGTCATGAATATCAGTACAGCTACTAACAATTATCAAGTGAATACATACTAACTTGTAATGTAAATCGCTTAGTTTTTGTATCGATCAAAGTATTTAGCGGTATGCATTAATTTTCGTCATCAATCTTCCGATAATCATTTCATTTAAGTAATACATTAATTTTCTATAATTTGGTCTGTAAGGGTTAGTTTTGCTTTTACGAGTTGATCACGGATTGATATCAGTCAGAGAACCATTGAAAACCAGCAATGGAGTACTAGACAGCTGTTTCATTCTAGTCTTTGGAATCATCGTCAGTACGCACCCACTGAGATTCGAACCCAGGACCTTCTGGTTACAAGGCAAGCTCGTATACCATTCAGCCTGTGGGACCCGATTCAATGGCCAGTCCATGAATTCTAACTTCTACCAATTCGTGATTTAGCGCCACCCCAACCGTTATCGTTGCTGAGATATCCATCCACGCAAGTGACATCTAATTGGACCTCACTAGAACTCCAGGAAACTCCATCCTACAGCAAGTCACTAGTTGTGGTGGCGCTAAATCACGAATTGGTAGAAGTTAGAATTCATGGACTGGCCATTGAATCGGGTCCCACTGGCTGAATGGTATACGAGCTTGCCTTGTAACCAGAAGGTCCTGGGTTCGAATCTCAGTGGGTGCGTACTGACGATGATTCCAAAGACTAGGATGAAACAGCTGTCTAGTACTCCATTGCTGGTTTTCAATGGTTCTCTAACTGATATCAATTCGTGATCAACTCGTAAAATACATTAATAGCGAAAAAAAGCGATATATATGCATAATGTTAACTGTGAAGAGATTAAGGTGACTTACAGCAAAGGGATTTGAATGTTCCTTTACGTTCCGAGTGGAACATAAGGCTCCAAGCTTGAGTTTTGAAGTTTCGGTAGCGGTTGTGTTTTATTTTCAAGGGGTAGGGTGACTAGTCTCACTCCCAAAGCTCCCTTTTCACTAATCTTACTAACGGCTAAACAAGGTTAACGATTACGTCGGGCGGGAGTTGAACTGTGGACCAGTTGCGTGGTTGGCGAGCATTTTACCGCTGTTCCACAGACGCACCAGTTAAGAATCCAGTAGAATAACAACGTGTGTCTGTGGTTCAGTGGCAGAAGGCTCACCAACCATGTATGTCCTCAGGAATTTGATCTCCGGCTGGCGTACGCTTTAACCTCCCTTAGTTGGCTGTTGGTCTGGTAGAGGCGGGGGTTGGATGTGAGACTAACAATCCCCCACCCACCATCCGTGAGAACAGAAATAACACCACTGCTACTAGAACTTTAAAGCTCTAGCTTGAAGCCCTATGTTTCACACAGGTTTGGTTTCTGGGTGATGCAATCCTAAAACTCGCCTAATTAACTGGCCATCAGTAAAACCGGTTCAGAGTGAAGATTGGGTGTGAGACTAGCAACTCTATATCGTGAAAACAAAATCACTATCAGGGATACGTCAGAGCCCAAGCCTGAAGCTTAGTGTCCTATTCCGAATGTGATGGATTGAATAGAAAGTAATCATATATACGCTTCAATGACTGCAACTTAATTAAGTTTTTATTTTCGTATGTCTTAAATAAACCTTTTTTCATGTTATCGATCTACACTTCTGGATTTAATGAATGTCACAGTTGTGTTTTTGAAGTGGAAAACTAAGAATTCTTGTCATTTTTGAAGGGATCCGTGATACTACTTAATTAATTGTATTTGTATTTCAGTAAGTTGTTGTATGCCTTGTCAGTTGACTGTTTGTTTCTTTGTTTTACTTGATGATGTAAATTGTAGACAATAATCATAAGAACAGTTTGACTGATTTTGAATGTATATTTTTATGCATAATTTAAAAAAAAATCAATTTTGAGGCTTTTGCTCATTTATTCATTCGCTAAAATTGTGTTATGATTTTATTATTCCTTCGGGTTCTGAGTGAAACATGAGCTTCAGCAGTGCATCTACATTTCACTCTGTTTTTATGCTGCCACTTAGCAGCTAGCTGTAGGATTGTCCATAAGCTTGCGGTGAGAGCTGTCCGCTTAACCTTGAGCAACTCATCAACCAGTCACAGCAGACTTAACGTGTGCAAATACGATTCGCAGATATATGGCTTAACTTTCTAAGAAACGGTTACAAGCCGTACAGAATGACCTTAAGCGGGAAAACAGCCAATCAGAAACCGTTGCTTCTCCGCTCACAATAATGTACATAAAAATCTATAAGTATCTGTTGATTTTCTTAATAAACGATCTGTTGCCTGGCCCTTGTCTTCTGTCGTTACAAGCTTCCATTCTCCCCTCCTCATACGGTGGATTAAGTAGATTTCCACTCAACTCACCCATTCATCAGAATTCATCCAACAGTATGCTCAGTATATGTTCAATCTCTCTATCCATTTCCTCGCATAGATCTTATAGAATCTTTGTCAGAGTTCCTCTTGCCTTATTCTTTCTAACCTGTCATTTGATTTTCACTCTGAAGATGGCGAACGGAGAGCAGCCTATTGGAGACGCTTTCGGTGATGTGCGGGCCATATGGGGGGGGACGCTGAATCGACAATTATTTCTTATAGTTTAGTAAATTTATCACGTACAAATTCAAGTATTCTGAAATAAATAAGTGGTTTAGCAACTATTGTCTTATACAACAAACTCATATCTTAAAATGCGAATTGAGTGGAGTGGTGATGAAACGTCAAAACCCTGTACTTCACTATGAGCAACGGGTGATCAGGTAATCTTTGTTCATCAAAGCTGCAGCTAACACGTGCACTAGGAATGACTCAATGCCAATACTATAGATAATGAAAATATTGCTTTCAATGAAATCAAGAGATAAGGAACAATGAAATTATATGTGAGTGCTTTGATATGATTATGAGTTAGATATGATAGAGAAGATTTGTATCTCAAGTGGATGATTTTGATGTGGTTGTGTCCTCTGAGCTGGATAGTTAATTTGTGAAGCTTTCATCGCCCTACTAGGCGACATCCTCACCTCAACGCATACTTCAATTTGTTGAAGTGAGCTTTTAGATTTCTCCACGAGTTTATTACTCATCTCTCCTGGTGGACCACCTTGGACGTCATGATTGGTTGTTTTTGTGTGTTTTCACACATTCTAAACAGCTACTTCTATTGGAAGTGATTGTTTCCTTGACTTGAACTTTGACCCTTTGTGTGTGAGGTTTCTTTCATATCGGTTGATAAATTTAGTCTATCTCGATGTGTCTATTGACTGATGATTCACTGGAATACCAGACAGGCTTCTAAAACCATTCTCTAGCATTCTTGGTGTTTCCTCTGTCTAATATTTGAACGTTTGTTCTCCCAGTTGAATTGATGTCCTTGGTTGTCTGTGTGTAGTGATATGAGTGATGGAGTGGATATCATGTCTTTTGACGGCTAGCTTATGTTCGTGGATACGAAGACGAATGGGACGTCGTCCACTTTGGCCAATGTAGTGTTTTTTTCGCAGTTGTTACAATTTATTTTGTAGATGATGCTGGTTTTATCTTCTTTCACTTCACCAGTAACAACAATTGAAGGTGGTAGTATCATATGGCAAGTTTGGTAGGATTTAAACTTCATATACCTATTGATTTCCTACAAAGTACACCTAAATGATAGACGTGCTTGCATGGTGATCTGATGATCTTGGGATCAGTCTCTGATTACAGTCAAAGGTTCATATTTCTAGAGAGTGCTAGATCATGACGTAATACTTGTCCAGTCCTTCTTCGTTTTCAAAATTTCTATAACTCATGTCGGTTCTTGACGAAACTTACCTTTGAACATGCAATCCTCTTAGTAGAAATATCATGTGTGGAATAAATAACGACTGGAATGCAAACCTTGTCTTCAAGGTGTTTTATGTGTTCTATCTTTTTATTATTTTGATTTCTTTGCGTTCCAATTGAAACATAGGGCTTCAAACTTTGATGCTTCACTAGGGGTAGTGTTCTTTTGAATGGAGTGAGGTTGCCAGCTTCACGCCCAATCTTTCCTCTTTTCTGGATGTACTGCAAGTTAGGCTGGGTGTAGGAGTGCACCGGTCGGGAATCAAACCCCATCCATGTTCTTGTTTGGAGACCATTTTCCCTTGAATCACTAATGTTTTAGTATATTTTATTGTATTGAATATATCTTAAAAACAGTAATGGCTGGACTGCGTAATTTATTGTTTACGGCGATATGGCTCACTGGCTTAAGCACTTGGCTTTCAGTCTGTGGGTCCTGGCTTCGAACCCTGTTCCACTTACCTCAGCACGGACATCAGGGTGGTACCGCCGACCCGTACGCAATCAAAAATAGTATGGCTTATGACCTGAAGTATAAAGGATCTGTTCCATTCGGGAACTGAGTTCAAAAAAAAGTTTACTTCCTACGTTTTTTTTAATTGAACAATGAATTTCCCGCTCGTGTCAACTTTTCAAATTTATTCCTGTATTCATTCTAATAAAGGTTTTTTAAACTCCATGTTTTCTCTCATTCATTGTTGCTATATGATTAGTTAATGGAAGTTTCTGTAAGTACTGAGTACCCAGTTTATTGTGCTTGAGTCTAGTATACGTTATCTTGCCTCGATTATTAAAAACCAACCTTTTGTCCTGTTTGAAAATGTTTTCTCCCTTGATACTTATTGGTGGTGAATCACAGATCGATATTATTTAGTCGATTATGGTCAGCCATCTTTTTTCAGACTCGTCATCCGGATGTACCCGCAGTCTCGCGTGACTGGTGGTGTTCCCAGTGAGACTCCAACCCTGCACTC